AACGTACGGCGCGTCGCGTTCCGCATACGCCCCAAGGAGCCATCAGACCACCACGGATGGAGCTGATGCCCATACGGAGCCTCAGAGGACTTAAAGGGTGACCGGGGCTCCGACTCGAAGAGCAGGAATAGGAACGGGGTGGTTTTAAGTCAGTAAGAGTCGGAAGTTACCTGTGTCTGATGGGGCGGGAGGAAACGTCCGGGTGTCATCACTGTGAGGACCGCCCTGAGGACACGGTGGAACACACTATAGCGGAATGCATTGCGTGGGCTGAGCACTGCCGTACCCTCAGGGAAGTGATCGGCGATGGCGACCTCTCGCGTCCGGGCCTAGTGCAGGCCATGATGCGGAGCGAGGGGGACTGGGATGCCGTCTCCTCCTTTTGTGAAGCATTTAAGATAGCTAAGGAGGAGGCGGGACGCATGAGGCAACGAAGCGCTGCCTCCTCGCAACCCAGCCATCGCGAAGGACACACCGGGCGTCGGGGATCGCGGGACGATCTCCGGCCACCGTAAGCGCGGGCCTGCGGACGGCGAGCATGGGTGGCTCCCCGTCCGACCAGAAACAGACCTGAACGTGCGGCGCATCGCGTTCCGCGTGGGCCTCAAAGAGCCATAAAACCACCACAGATGGGGCCCAACAGGGCCGATGCCGAGTCGGAGTCGCGAAGAACCTAACGGGTAACCGGGGCTCCGGCTGGACGTGCAGGAGAAGGAACGGGGTGGTTTTTAGTCAGTAAGAGTGACACTCCCTCCCGCCTTACCCAGGCGGGAGCAGTCAACCGATGATTTTCCCCGCTTAAAAAAAAAGTCAGTAAGAGAAACTTCCTCTGAAACTTCCACTCGCCTCACCAGCGCGGCCGCCGGCGAAAGGCATTGGATGATTTATTATCCCTCAAAAAAAAGGTATCATGTTAGATCACCTAGCTATTGATCGTCAGTATATTGCTGTTGAACGTTCGTACATACCTATTAGGCGTCCGTATATAGCTATTGAACGTCCGTATACAGCTATTGGGCGTCCGTATATAGCTATTGGGCGTCCGTATATAGCTATTGAACGTCCACGTATAGCTATTGGGCGTCCGTAATTAGTAAAGATAATAAGAATATATCTTATTACTAGAATGGTTTTATTAAATATATATGTTCAAAACTTCTTTCATTTAGGCTGGTTTCAGAGCTAGAGGATTGGGCAGCGCTGCTGAAATGCCTCGCGCTTGGAGATGATGAGAGCTCTCTTTTTTTTTTAAGGGGGGAAAATCATCGAGTGACTGCTCCCGCCTGGGTGAGGCGGAAGGGAGTGTCAGACTCTTACTGACTAAAAACCCCCCGTTCCTTCTCCTGCACGTCGAGCCGGAGCCCGGTTACGCGTTAGGTTCTCCGCGACTCCGAATCGGCATCGGCCCTATTGAGCCCCATCTGTGGTGGTCTGATGGCTCTTTGAGGCGCGCGCGGATGATGAGAGCTCTAGCATCTTTTTATTGCGACGCAACTGTCATAGAGGTAGAGGTCCCAGTAGAGGACTTTTTCGCTAGAAATTATGATCTATGAGATACACTTTTATTTTAATCTAAACCTTAAGTAACTGAAGACCGCACCTAATCTGATCTTTGTGCGCAAATATTGTATTGAATTTCAATTTAATTTAAGACAAGATTCCTAATTTAATACTTCTAGTTGTGGCCACTCGATTAACTCCTCTATTGGATTGTTGCCTGATGCCTCTATTGTTGAAGCCCGCGCTTCAGCCGCGCTGCCCATATCCTCTAGCTTTGAAACCAGCTCTAATTGTATCAAATATTTAATTGGTGATTATTGATATGAAGTTACCAATTCTAAGTAAGCCAATAAAAACAGAATATGGATATCATTTTACTGCCTCGTTGGCCGAGTGGTCGCAAGTGCGATCGCCTGGCAAAGAGTCTCGGGTTCCATTCCCGGGTTGGGCCAAGTATTACTGGGTTTTTTCAAGAGTCTGGAAGTGGGCCCGGTATATAGCAATAAACTCACCCCCTATTACATGGTACTCATAACATAAATAGTAAAAAACTGTGGATATTACATTGTACAGTGGCATTAAGTGCCGTAATGTGCATTTCTGCTTACTCCTTCGGGGAAAAAGCGTGATGTTATGTTATGTTAAATATGGATATCACTTTTAATGAAGTGGTTATGTTTTGTAATCAAAAACATTTATAATTCCTAATTGGATCTTTATAACACGCCAAGGCTAGAAATAAGAAGACAAACGTTGATTGATTTGATCAGTAATACAACATTAATTAATTATTCAGTGTTAGATGCATCTTCTAACCACATAAATAGATAAAGTTAATAAAATTACGTCAAAATTTATACGGAGACTATACTATCTAAATACACATTTAATTCGAGTTAAACTCTGGTTAACCTTTTTTGTGGCAAGACATATAATTTTGTCACTTTAGTACTTATTTCTAAGATCCATTTAAGGAATTAATTTATACCCTCATCTATTATAATATCACTGATAGGTACTCATTTACAAATTGAGAACAGGGTTGCAGCACATGATTATAATAAAATCGGACTCCAAATAATACGCAACACATCCGAAATGTACGACGATGAATATTGTTTTGAATGCGGTAAATAATATTATGAACTATTTCCACGGATTTACTGAGCGAACTGGCAACGTCGCTGTTATTTTTTTGAGGACGCCAAATACGCGGACTTATAATCAGAAAATCCCAAAAATATACAGCTGTGGATATACGCGCTACAGCAGCGCTCTATCTACGCTGAGATTTCTTTGGGAACTTTTCAAAATACTATAACAGCCATTGAACCGATCTTTTGGCCTCTGTCGATTTTTAACCTACGTGCAGCCAGGACCAAAAGGACCTAAGTAGCATAGGCCAAAAAAGTGGCGTCCGGTATGCGGACGCCACAAGCAGGTGGACGCCAGATTAAATGCACTTTCGCCTTCATGGGACGTCCAATCGATAGCGGGATGTAAATATATTTATATGTGTATGTATATGTATGTATATATGTTATATTATGTTATATATTTTCCTTCGTATATTTAGGTGTATATATGTCCATATATATGTCCATACTTATTTGTCTACTGTTCGTTTTGCATTACGGATATATTTTAATACTTCTTCATTATATTTAATAAGTATATTATATTCTGTGATGTGTATAATTATATATGATGTTAATGTTAACTTTGATCTTAATGTTAATTATATGTAATACTTGTCAATGTATGATCAAAACTCACAAGTGGTAAACGTTTACACCTACTATTGTGTCTCTCTGCATCACCCTAAGGTTGACTGTTAGAGAATGCCACTAGGCATTAAGTCCGCCTTTGTATACCTACATGAAGTGTAAATAAATAAATAAATAAAAATTCCTATGTGAGGGAGAAAATCACTGAACGTCTTGTCCCTGGGCCCGGCGAGAGGAAGCGTCGGACTGTTACTGACAAAAAACAATACCGTTCCTACTCCTGCTCTGAGCTGGAACCCTGGTAACTTCTTTCGCTTGCCGATTCGGAGTCGCGGAGAACCTAACGGGTAACCGGGGCTCCGGCTCGACGTGCAGGAGAAGGAACCGGGTGGTTTTTAGTCAGTAAGAGTCTGACACTCCCTTCCGCCTCACCCAGGCGGGAGCAGTCATTCGATGATTTCCCCCCTTAAAAAAAAAAAAAACTTCTTTCGCTTTTCTATAGCCCTGGGGCCTAACGCCCGAATACTGAAATTTTACTTAATTTTAAGTCTCGCTTAAGTATAGTTTTGTCACCACTAATTCTTTGCTCAGCACGACTTAAAATTGAGTAACGTTTCAGTATTTCGGCATTAGTCTGCTATTATAATTATGTCAGTATGGTTGATCATTGAGAAGTGCAAGAGACAATAGTAATAGCAGACTAAGGCCCCTGGTTTGTGTTTATGTTAACTAGCTTCTGCCCACCCCGGAGGAGACTGTGAAGCATACGGTGATAGTGGGTCTTTAGGAATGTGATCGGCGATGGTGACCTCTCGCGTCTGGCTCTGGTTCAGACCATGGAACGGAGCGAGGGAGACTGGGATGCCGTCTCCTCCTTCTGTGAAGCAGTCATGCAAGCTAAGGAGGAGGCGGGGCGCGTGAGGGAACAAACTCCTTACTTCTCAGCCGTCGCGAGAGACATTTCGGGCGTCCGGGATCGCGAGATTATCTGCGGCTACCGTAAGCACGGGCCTGCGGACGGCGAGCACGGGTGACTCGCCGCCTGACCAGAACCAGGCCCGGGTGTACGGGCCTCAAGGAGCCATCAGACCAACACAGATGGGGCCCAACAGGGCTGATAGGCAGGGACGGAACCGTGGAAGACTTAGCGTGTTGCCGGGGCTCCGGCTCGAAGTGCAGGAGTATGAACGGGGTGGTTTTTAGTCAGTAAGAGTCTGACACTCCCTCTCGCCTCATCCAGGCGGGAGCAGTCATTGCTGATCCCTTCAGCCGTTCTGAGTAACAAACATACATACAAACACACACATTCACAAACTTTCGCATTTATAATATTAGTAAGATGGTGAGATGGCATCACACTTGCGAGCTACCCTTTGAAAGGATAAGCAGCGAAATCCTCATATACAGCCAAACTTACAGGTTTCTGAGCTTATTGCCTATAGACAACTTTGATACCTCTATCAATAACATTCCATAAACACAATCCAAAAAAAAATCTAAACAACAAATCGTCAAATAGACTGGCTTATAATTAAATCCCAAAATGGTATAAGTTTTTTATTTGTATCAAGAAATAAATGATGCAAAACATGTTTACGAAGCGGCTTTATTAATATTCCATAACCTCTAAGATAATTTGGATTCAAACATAATAAACTAACTGGTTTCTTTCTCTTTCTGTCACATAAATCATGTTATATATTTGTCTCTTTTCAACGCAAAGATTTTTCCCTCACATCCTCTTCGTTGGAAGTTGAACTTTAAGAACTTTATATGTCATTCGTGCAAAAACATGCGCGTGCGCCAACGTTGTTTAGAAAAAATAAAAAATATTTTGTAAATATAAAACTGTTAGTAGAGTACAAAATGGTAAGCTTTGTGTTTGTGGTGATTGGTGATAGTTAGTTCGGTGATTAGAAAATGTGGTGATAATGTCAGGTGTGGTGATTTATTGTATAGATGGACCGGTTTATGATACATAATGTTAAGCGGTTATTTTATTATTTTTCTTAAGTGATGTTTGTTGGTAAGATTCCAAGATGCATGGAATGCCTAACATTAAGTTTAGGAGGAAAAATAATGAATAAACTTACATAATATCCTTAGACAGCATTTTTGCATATTCACATTTTGAATATTTTCAACGGGCTTCGAAACGCATTATTAGGAGCTTATAGTTTCTTATTCGACTAGTATCCTGAATCCCCATCTAGATCCACGTTGTCCATGACTAAAGTTAATGGCTGTTAGCATTACTGCATTAAACTGTCAAACACCAAGCGGTCACCGGTGACCGCAACCTATTGTTCTTTAATTGTGTCTATAAATACGGTACTCGACGAGTTAAGGGCCTATTTTTCGATCATCAGTTAATTATTTTCTGTAGAATAAAATTGACAGTTTTTAATATGGAAGCATTGTCAAATATTCAAATTTTCAAATTATTCCTCAGTTAAGAATTAACTGATGGTTGAAAAATCGACCCTAAGACAACATTATTGGGGTTAATAACTTACGACGCACTTGATTAAATCCGGAAGATATAAGTAAGGACAAGTGAATTCAAACGTTAAACCTTCGAAGCCGACAGAAAACTGTTGTAGGCATTTCTTTCGCTAATGGTGATACTGATGACCTATGCGACGGTTAACGTGTACCTACGACAAATTCTTTCATTTGTACATATATTGACTTACTATCAACGAGTTCGACAAAGAAACACTGTTTGAACACAACAATGAAAAAACTAAAGTAACTAAAAATCGCGGGTTACACACGTGAAAATACTGAAAAAACCTACACTAGTTTCAAGCCACAGAGGGGCTCTTCCTCATGAGCAGCGTGCTCGTATTTTCTTTATTCTCACAATAGATAAAAACAATTATAAAACTGATTAATATTTAAACTTTAGACTACATTGTAACATTTGTTATAAGTAGATGGAACTTAATTTAGAACTTACCGTTACAATATAATATAAATTCATTAGTCCCAAACATAATGACCACAAAAGCTCAACTGACAACCCACCAGCTCTTCAAATCCTAAAATGAATGATCCAAATTACCAAACGACTGCACCAAATTTGATAATTCTTTTATAATTGAATGTGATTGTTAGGCCGTTAATTAAAAGAATGGAATATTCGAAATTACTTGAAAACTCAACCGCGAAGAACAAAAGCGTGTTTACAACTACATTTCCGTTTAATAATAGCAGTGATCACCATAATCTAAAAAAATACCTGAGAGATTATAATATTTATGGAATTCTGTTGTTATTTACATATTTATAGTTAAACAATAATAAACATGGCATTATAATGGAAAAATAAACAGACCTTTTGTTAGAACCCGCATTATAAAGTACATTAGACAGAAACGCAGCCAGTCTTTAGAGAAATTCTAAGACATGAAAGGGCGCATTCCGTGGCAAAATAATGAATATCTAGATGAAGAAAATGATATGTCTAATGTGACTTTGCAGATTCAAACTGTGACATCTCTTCTGGTTCTTATAATGTCTGTGACGGGACAAGTAGTGCAAGCTTCGGATTTTGTGTCGCCGTGTCCAAGTGTATTCAAATATGAACCACCGGGAACTGAAGCTGGGAAATGGTACGGTGTAGTGAACTTCACTTCGGAGTTTACCCTCTACGGTCTTTGGATGAACATTGTGCTTGATAGCAAGGCTGATATTCTTGGGGTGAGTCACTGAATGTTATTTGTAGTTTTGACAACACGGTTAGTGCTGTGGCTGAGCAACCGGCTGCCACGGAACGTGTCGCGAGTTCGCACGGAGCAACGCTTTGTGTGATCCACAAATTGTTGTTCCGGGTCTGGGTGTCATGTGTATGTGAATATGTTTGTAAAAGCGACCACGACACAGTAGAAAATCCAAGTGTGGGGCAACGTTTTTTTAAAAAAAACAATGTCATTTGTTGGTTAATAGAAATGTAGTTGTTGTTAGATGGATGGTTTATGTCAAGTGTTTTCTGCAGTTATATTGTAAGCCTTGCGTAATGGGTTTTAAATAAAAATTTTGGAGTCTTCATTAGAGAAGAGACGATACATTTTTTTAATCAGAACTTTGCAAGTCGTATTTCTTGTTTTCTTAAGAATGTGTAGGCATTGTTAAAGTATTGACATTTAGTGTGACCCTCCTATTTTTAATAGACACCTACAATTTTTCACTTTTCCTGTTACAACTTTGTCAATCTTGCAGAACTGGATAGGCGAGGTGACAACCGACGACAATATAGACTTCAAAATAGAAAATACTAAAACGAAAATCAGTCCCGAGGAACCTCTTAGTATACGTTTCTTTGTTCAATACAAAGCTCAAAACGTAACACCTAAGTTAAAGGCCATAAGGGTTAATGGGAGAGAAATATGTAACATAGAAATCCCTCGAGTTACAGAAATTCCAAAACCTGTAACAGAACCAGTTGTTTATGATGTATGGCCCAGAGCAACCGATACAACTACTGTGAGACCAGCAGTGACATCAACGACAAGCAGTTACAAACACCAGCCGACAACAACGCAATCATATTGGTACCAACTACTAGACAAGCAACGAACTAGTACAAAATCGTACTGGACACAAACAACCACGCCAAATGTTTACCCAGTGAAACCCGTTGATAAACAAACTACGACAGTAAAGCCACAATTCTGGACGGAAGCAAAAACTACAGAAAGCACCACACGAACTACTTCAAAACCTCAATACTGGCAACAAACGACCTTAAAACCAATTTATTGGACTAAAAGTGAAGACAAAACACAGACAACTGCAAAATCTCAAGTCTGGCCTTACGTGAAAGTAGATAACACCCAACAAACTAAAGTTGAAGATAAAATAAATGCTACTACAGAAAATAATAAAGTTCAAACATGGTCGCACAGTAGAGTTTCTAGCAACCAGCACACGAAAGCTCATGAAAGAAACAAAACTAAAGGTCATAGTCATGATCATACTCAAAACTCAAGCAACTGGCCCAAAAATAATGAAGTACAAAATGTAGAAAGTAATCATCAATCAAACACATCGGTCTATATACAGAATGCAAATGAAAGTACATACTACACTACAGATAAATCTGTAGTTTGGCCAGTTGCGAAGATGACAGAGAACCAAACGACTTTGATAACTGATACTAAAATAGGAAACAGCTCACAAGCTCTCAATAAAAAAGAAGTACATACAAAACATTGGCCGAAAATTCCATCAGATAATACCACTTCAGTAGTGGCAAAACCAACTGGAACGGACAGTTCATCTTTCATTTGGGTTGAGAGTCAAACGGCGTATTCTGGAACCGATCATCAGAACCAATCATACAGTAAACTATCAGTAACACCCATTCGCACAAAACCTTTGCTTCAGATAACTCCAATTTACGTTCGACCAGAAGATAAAGAAAGGGTATCAGACAAAAGATATGAAACTGCACAGTATTCAGAGGAAACAAGTAGGTACGAACCTGAAAAGGTTCAACGAGTAAGTCCAGTAGCTTACGAAAAGAGTGATATGACATATGACACTGAGGAAGAAGACCGTCTAGTAGTGAAACCAATAAAAAGAACTGATGGAGATGAGCAGAAACCTAACTGGTCTGGTGAAAGAACTTCAGACTATTTTGGAGATAGCCCTCAGAGTTATATTGGGCATAACACTAAGAACAAAATGAGATTGGAATCCGAGGATGAGAGCTATATTAAATAGTGAGTATTGTTATACGTAATTTATTACGCCACAGAGAAATAAACAAATAGTTTAAGAGCGAGATGAGGTACACGATGATAATGCGCCTTCAAAAAAAAAGTTAAATAATCTTTAACATTTTACAGTTTTTTACTAATAACATACATACATTAAGGTCAGCGCTCCTTTAAGATACTATTCCAAATTATTATGTTTCTTAATTTTTCATAGTAGAATTTTTATTGTCATTCTTCTTCGAGTTCTATATCCTCTACTAATATTTACTTTGTGTTTTCTCAGTAGTGATGATATAATGAAGAATTTGGCTGAAAATGCAAATTCACATTTCAATAGTTACCAGCTGACTACAGACGCACCACCTGCAGCCCTATTCTATAAATCTGAAGATTATGACATTCCGAGGTAAGATTCATTATGTCATTTATTTTAAGACTGCCACGTTGGCCGAGTGGTCATAAGTGCGACTGCCAGGCAAGGGGTCTCGGGTTCGATTCCCGGGTCGGGCAAAGTATTACTGGGTTTTTAAAAAATTCTCAGTAGTAGCACGGAGTCTGAAATCGTGCCCGGTATATGGCAATAGGCTCACCCCCTATTACATGGGACTCATAACATAAATAGTGAAAAGTGGGTGTTATTGTACAGTGGCATAATGTGCACCCCTGCCTACCCCGTTCCCGTTGAATAAAAAGTAGCCTATAGATGTGTTATACCAGAATTTAATCTACCCCTTTCCTAAATTTCATCCCTATCTCTTCAGTAGTGCCGCGGAGAACCTAACGGGTTACCGGGGCTCCGGCTCGAAGTGCAGGAGAAGGAACGGGGTGGTTTTTACTCAGTAAGAGTCTGACACTCCGTCCCGCCTCACCCAGGCGGGAGAAGTCAATCGATGATTTTCCCACCTTAAAAAAATCCCTTCAGCAGTTTTGTCGTGAAGGAGTAACAAAGAACAAACAAACAGACATATAAGCTTTCACATTTATAATAATATAAGTAGGATAAAAAATCTTATAAAAAATCATGTGTTGTACGTATACAATGATATTTCAGTTTAATAATTTTAGATGGCAATATTTTTTTAATTCTCCGTAGCATTTTTACTTAACCAAGGTTTGACTTTCTGTAGAGATGAATGTTTAATTATCTACTACCTACAACATCATATCATTATGATTAGTAGGTACATAGGTACGTTGTATCCATGAAGAGGATTCAGGTTACTTTTTCAGCGCCATCGCAGTGGGACATATGTGGCGGTGTTCTTGTGACATGGACCTATCAAAGTCAAAGTCAAAATCATTTATTTCAATTAGAGCAAGAAGGCCATTTAGAACGACAAAACAAAATATTTAAATATTAAAGAAAAAATGTCAGTCTATCTGTTAGTCCTCTGGTGAAACTAGTTAACTAACTGCAAATGGTGATAGAAATGAAGATTCCAATTGTTCAAGATGTTCAATTGTTATGTTATATTTTCAGGAAGGAAGACAAGATCGAGTACTATGTCGGTGGACTACCCATCTTCTACATACCCAACCATGCACCTCGACCTAAGATGGAAGTAAGTACTATAAATTATTTTATTTTATCACTAGCTTTTTTACCTGCTGTTTTGCCCCATACCTGTTTTATCCCATGGGAACATTTAATCGGGATAAAAAGTATCCTATCACCTAAGTCAGCCTATACCCTGCCTGTATAACGAATGTCATTACAATTCGGTTAGTAGTTTCAGCGTGATTGGCGAACAAACATCCAAACAAAGAAATTTTGACATTTATAATACCTATAGGATGTTTTTTTTATAACACAAGATCAAAAGTTAGTTCCCTTTTTGCGGTGACACAATTTTTTTAAATGTTTATTTTTTTATACGTTTCGTAAATTTTTACGAATATTAAACCTATTTTAATTTTATAATTAGAACGGCATCGGCAGGATCAATTTTCATGACTTTTACATCCATATCGGATAAATTTAGTAGATAAAACACAAAAAAAAACATTAAAATATTATTTTTCTATAATCTTATTAATATACATAAGATGTTATGAAGTTAACCAGCACAGCCAGTATACGCACAAACATAATACATAATAACAATGTACATAATGAATATTTAAAGCGCAATTAATCATTGTCGGGAACAGTATTAATACAATATTGCGGCCTGTAATAATTAAGCCCAGACTTAATTAAGAATTTTTACCACCTAAATCAAATAAGTCCTAATTACTTTGTATATTCGTATTTTTTTACGGCATTTGCCAGTAAACGAGCAAACGGATCACCTGATGGTAAGCAATCGGCGTCGTCCATGGACTCCTGGAACACCAAAGGCGTTACAAGTGCGTTACCGGTTTTTTGGGGATTAGGAGTTTGAGGATCGTTAGGGATTCAGGGATTGGGGAGATTGGGGAAGGGGAGGGTAATTGGGCCTCCGGTAGCCTCACTCACACGACGAAACACAACGTCACGTTCACGTCGGTTTTCTGTGAGGCCGTGGTATCACTCCGGTCCAGCCGGCCCATTCGTGCCGAAGCATGGCTCTCCCACACTTAAATTAGCACATAATGTAGCATAACACACCGTGAACTATTTTGTTTTTGTCTTGTGCTAAAACAACTCGCCATATGGAATACATTCGATGTATAAAGTAAAAACAAAAAACAAAGATGTCATTTTATTTTAGTTTAAAAAAAATGTTCATGGATATACGCACATAAAACACTGGAAGCAAATTTGTAGGCAGTATTCGCATCACACGTGCCACCCGCCGAGAAATAACTCTTCGAGAATTACAGGTCGTGATGTTTTGATGACCATGAGAGCGTATGCGCTTTCGAAGTTTGCTTTTTGCAATGCTTCACCCGTTTGTTATTGTTATAAACATTTAATTTCTAGAACTATTGTATTAACAAGACAGAACCATTTTACTTCAGGACGAAAACGAAATAGATTTCACAGTATCTTATGTTTTGAGGCTTCTGTGCCCAAGGGGTAAAAATAGGACTCTATTATAAAGTAGTAATAAGAGTCAGTTGTTTGTCTATCAGCAAGTATATCTTGAACGATGATAGGACATAGGAATATTGGAAAATTAGAAGTTATTTTTATTGCACATTAACTGACCCGGCAAATTTCGTATCGCTTCAAACATTTTTAGCCTTTTAAACCTTCCCTGGACTTCCACAAACATTGCAAGACTAAAGACTCAAGACTAACTATTAGCCCAAGTGGTTCAGCCGTTCTCGAGTTTTAACGAGACAAACGTACGAAATTAATTTTTATTTATATAGATTTAAAATCGATTTAAAAAACCAGGCAGTTCTCAATTTGTTTGTTTGTTTTTTTATTTCGCATTGAATTACTAATTGGGCCAGTTTTCATTCTATTGTTTTTCTAAACTTTAAAATAAGAATTAATGACGAAATACCTAATAATACTTTACGTGACCTATAACCGTGTTTATAAATATTATCGAATTGAGTTTAGTAATAAGGCCATTTCTCATCCTATTGTCTATTAGATACATGTTTTTGTTATAGTCTTAAATACGATCAAGAAATTAGTCGCATATTTGAGCTGGATAGTCACATATGAGTATGACTAAACCTGATCATCATACATTTCAATCATGACGGGGAAAACCTGTTTCTGTGACGATAAAGATCCTCACAGAATGCTAATTTAAAAGTAGTATCGTTGTAGACTTAAATAAACATTATATTTTATGTGGCTTTGCACTTGTTTTTAGAATATGGTTGGTGACTACCTAGTATTGGGTCTTGAGTTCAGTTCCCAAACTTTGTTTAATTTTTCGGTTTTGGTAAGTTCTCTATTGTAGTTAGGAGTTGGAACTGGAGCCCAGAGGGTGAATATACGATTGTTTCTTTAGCATCTCTTAACAGTATTGACGATATTTTATTAATGTCTATGCTTCTCCTTTAGAGTTTAAAAGATTCAATCAATGGTCTTAAAACATATTATTTACCTGCTTCTGCCAGCGGCTCCGCCCGCGAGGGGTAAAATGTCTATGTTTTCCTTCAGACCATAATCGACCTCTGTTCCGATATTCATCTTCACTCCGGTCCCTTCAGTCGTTTTAATATGACTGAGTAACAAACATACACACACCGTTACACAAAAATAATCCTTATAGTATGATTCAGTATTCACGCGCGATGGGCGCGATAGCTTATTAGCGTATTTCATGTATAAGTTTGGTGTTTCTATACCTATTTCTATGATTATTATTGCACACGCGATGGAAGCTTAAAAAATGGAGTAACTTCTCCTGTTTTCCCAACACTTCACTGCTCTGTTCCCGTGAATAGTGTGATGTAAAGTATACTATAACCTCCCTAGAAGTATGAAGAATAATTCTACTAAGTTGTGTTAAAATCCGTTGAGTAGTATTTGTTTCTATAAGGAATATACAGACAGGCAGACAAAAATTTTATTGATTACATTTTTGGCATTAGTATGTATCACTAATCAATCCCCCCTGATCATTATTTTAGAAATATATTTCATGTACAGAATTGACCTCTCTAAGTCTCTACAGATTAATATAAGTATATATTAAACATGTTCTTTTTACTGTGATACGAACAAGGAAGTGTGTAAGTACATACAGGGCCTAATCAATATATTGTTCGTTTACAGCTAATATGTGGAAACGTTTTAATGAACAAGGACAAGAAAAGCAATCGAAGTGTAACAGCGACTTTGGAGGGACAGTGGCCGTGGCAAGTAGCACTGTACCAACAACAAGTAAGTAAGGTAAAGGCACCTAATTCCGCGCTGCTTTTAACATAACACGAAAGAACATTATAAATTAAGTATTTATCGGACCTTTGTGTACAATTTTATATTTTTATCAGAAGTGTTAGCTATCAAATTTTTGAAAAATATTTGCAGTTTGTCAGTAGAAGGTTATTGAAGCTGATAAAATAAATAAAAATATAAAAAAGTCCGAGGTACCTTATTCCGATTTAAAAATCGTAATTCCGATGCATTTGGTTCCTAATTCCGAGTATAAAAATAGAAAGGGGACTATGTAGGGAGAATTATACATGATGTTTAAAAGTCAAATCTGTTTATTTTTTATATTACTTAAATCAATTCTGTTTTTGTTTATTCTAGTTTTATTCTAAACCCTGTTTTTTATTAATATTATTCCTTAATCTTATTAATAATTATTTTTACCTGTGCTACGACCCGTAGTAGCACTGGTAAAAAGGGAAAATACCTAATATGAATATTCTTAAGAGTCTTCTAAAGTCATTTTCTTTAATATAATAAAATAAATAAAATACATGCAATTAAAAAAAAACTAAACGTAAAAAAAATAATTTTATTATATTTTTTTACAAACACACACTCCAATTTTATGTATTTGTATAGATGATTAGTATTCTTTCAGTTACTAAACGCGTATCTACTAAGCACATAAAATAATGAACACTCTGTATTTAAACAGGGTCTTAACTAACTTCGGAATTAGGTTCTCATGTAATCTTATTCCGACGTAAATACATCGGAATTAGGTACTCATGTAACCTTATTCCGACGTAAATACATCGGAATAGCGTTTTATGATGCTAAATCAAAGTTTCTAATTCCGAGTACTAAAAAGTAAAAGATTTTTTAATATTATGCAAATAAAATAATGTATGGTTACAATATGAAAGGAAAACAAATATAAAGTACATACATATAATAACAGAACACTTATAAAACCTAATGTCTTCACTAAAATCTTCTATACAACGTATTAATAAAGTACCTGTACAAACAATTTTTGACCTGCTATAATTAGTAAATGCGACGCCACGGTGTACCTCGGAAATAGATTATTAAATGTATGAGTTATTCATTAAGTCAGAACTAACACATTAAAGTTTATAATCATAAAACAGACACCGAAATTTAAAAAAAACTAAATGTCTTTAAATTTGTTTTTCCGTGGTATACATCGGCTTTTAGGAACACACTAAAATATTTTGCACCTAATGCCGCAGTATTTTAAACACTTATTTTCTTGCTAATTTGCAAATAAAATACTCAAATCTTAAGTGTTTCCGATAAAAAATATTATCCTTTCAATATTTCAACCTAAACGAAAACTCGCGTTGTTAAAAATTATTACGTAAAACACTATTTGGCAAATCGTAATACTCACGTGCATAAGGTCCCAAATGTATGAAGTGTGCTTTCGACGCTGCTCCCCGCGGCAAAATGACCGATTATTTTACAGTGTGACCATACTAAACTCTCCTTTGTATAAATAAATATGAACAGATAATTATTAATTCATTATTTTATCATGCAGACCATAAATAACTAGTAAATTGCTTTAAAAAACTGTTTTTCTAAATACATCGGAATATGATGCCATTTTTAGAACCCCTCGGAATAAGGTGCATTTACCTTAGCTTTGATTGTCGATACAGTTACAAGTACAAGCTTTCAACTAAAAATCGCCGGTTACTCACGTGAAAATACTGAGAAAAGCTCTACTAGTTTCGAGCCACAGAGGGGCTCTTCTTCATGACCAGCGTGCGCGGTCGCGGCGATGTCGTGAAGCCTACTGGCTAGCGTCGGCGCTTGCGTTGGTGTTGTTACTAGCGTTGCGAGCCCATCGCGCCCTCTGCCAGAGCTATACACGTGAATAACCCTCGATTTTTAGTTATAGTAATTATTACAAAAACCAAACAAATCACGATAGTCTTTGGCTTTTTGAATCATTTAACCTTAACAGAGATATTATTTTGTCTAGTGTGTCCAATCTGATAATAACGAGCATGTGGATGGGGCCTATCATATTTTTCACTAGTGTGTGCTTTCGTTCTTCGTTCAAAAGATAATCAGCCAGTGCCACACCATTGAACCTTCATTATTTGACAGCTATCATGATTGGACAAAAGAACCTCTTCCTACATTTGCGCCCCTATTGTACGACGGACGAGGAATCATAGAACAACCCGAAGAAGGTTTTAAAAGGTCCAAAGCTGTAATGGCACAGCACGTTAAATACTAGTACAAAAATTATTAATTGAACCTTCTATTGAACCAAAAAATAACAGTTCTCCGTTTTAAATCTTCTACCATCTTCTTCATTTCCAGACTTCAGTGGACTTCAGGTACATATGTGGAGGTACCCTGGTGTCGAAACGCCACGTCGTCACAGCTGCCCACTGCGTCACTAAAAAGTTTTCTACCAGGGTGGTCAACCAGAACACCCTGACGGTCTACCTGGGGAAGCATAACTTGAGGAACTCCGTTGAAGGAGTACAAGTGAAGTTTGTAAGTATGCTGTTCATGGAAGAGGTGACCCCTTCTCAAAAACCTACCTAGGTTTTCGCGTCTGGCTACATTATGGAGTTCTTCAAGAAAGGAAGTAAATAGGTTTTTTAAGGGACGGCAATGTGTATGTAATGCTCCAAGTGTTGCAAGCGTTCATAGGCCACAGTATTTGCTTACAATCAGATGAGCCGTGTACTCTTTTGCCACCGTCGTGGTTTAAAAAAACCTTAGTTTTATACAACGTATTTACGAGAGATAGCTTACTGAGCCCGTCAATGAGGTATATTTTAAACTCATGTAAGTAATCGTCTGTTTAATCTGTGTCAAAAGAGATTATTCAGATTTCATCCCGAGTTTTACAGAATGAAGTCACAAATCAGTATAATATCGTATCCGAAATTTTGTGGTTCGGTTGCCATAATATCCACGTTTGGGATGTAACTTGGAAATAGCAATTAAGAAGTTTCAGGTTTATTTGTAGAATGGACTATATATGTAGTAATGGTCTTTTATTTCCTTAGAATAAATTAATTATAATTGTAACGCGGCAATTCGATTTTGGTTTGTGTCGAACGCACGCGCGCTACTCTAGTGGCAACGCGCCACCACACTATTTCCCTTCCCCCGCTTCCCCGCCACTGACCGCTCGACGCTTGCGAGGACGCGGGAACAAGGAGTCCCGCGCCGGAGCCGCGACGCACACGCCCATATTTGTGCCGCGAATATTTTCTGAGTTTTTTGTATTATTGTGCAACTTTGTTTTATATTTACTTTATTTCCAATATATACAGTTTACAGTCATTCGTGTGTCGAACGTTATTTCACGCCCCTGAGAACCCACCACCAAGAACAATCAATCTTCATCAACCATATTACAGTGACGCCCAACTTGCGGCCACGAACGAACTGTGCATAAAAACTCAAAGTTACAACAAGTTCTAGTGTTCCTATCGTGCAAACACACATTGTGAACTCTCTCCGATAGTGCAATCACACGAAAACTATTGTAAAACCAGTGCAAATACCAAAGTGAAAACACTTGGGCGAGTCCATTTTCCGCGTGCCGCCGGTTGCGTCTGTAGGTATATACCTACCGACTCGTTGAAGCTACCATCCTCAAAATCATCACCCGTGCTCTTCGAGCGAGTAACAGTTGGAATTGCCTGTTATCATGCCGCCGAAGAGAAGAACTGGAAGAGATGAGGGATCGGGTACCGACACAGATGTCGAGATAAACAGAACCGTGATTTCGTCCCCGAATATTACAATGTCGCAGGATATGCTAAATACCCTTGTCTCTAACATCACTAGGAGTCAAGTGGAAGCAAACAGAGTTCTGATTGAGAGTATTTTGGCGGGAAACAAAAACCCGCTGATTACGTCATCGCCGCGCGCCGAAGCCGCCGACGCACACACGCATGCGCCGCGCGCAGGTAACTTCGCGAAATGCACGGCGCGATTTAACGGATCATCGAGGAACGCGGATGAGCTCGAAGCATTTATCGAGGCCATCGAAGTCTACCGCGACTGCACCAACGTCAGCGACGAGCACGCGCTGCGCGGCCTGCCGATGCTGCTGGTGGGCGAGGCCGCCGTCTGGTGGCAAGGAGTGAAGCCGTCGGTCACGTCGTGGACCGACGCCCTACAACGACTTCGAGGGATGTTTGGAGTGCCGCGACCCGGTTATAAAATACTTCGAGACATTTTCGCTACCGAACAAAATAGTGAACGGGCCGACGTATTTATTTGTAAAGTGCGCGCTTTATTATCAAAATTACCGTACGTAGTACCGGAGGTAATGAAGTTGGACATTGTATACGGGTTGTTAGATCGTAGGATTAGAAAACGCGTGTGTCGTGATTCCTTCGACGGGCTGGAGCAACTCATCACCAAAGTCAGGTTAGTCGAGGAGTCACTGGCGGAGGTAAGTTCCCCCACTCATAATAATAATACGAGTTCTGTTGACTCGTGCGCCGCGCGTGACCGTTCTGACACAAACCCGAGTCTTAAGCTTTCGAAAACCGTCGCCGAACCCGTCAGTTCGAAATCGTCATGTAGCGCGAGTTCTTTAGTAAGTTTACGTGATGCGGCCGTGTTAGGTCAGGCCTCCACGTCTAATGTAAAGAATAATAGTGACGTACGAAAACGTACGCGACCGAAGTGTATTTATTGTAAACTTTTCGGGCATTCAGTTGATAACTGTCGTAATAAGAAGGAAGATACTTCTAATGATAATAATAACACTCAGTTACGTTGCTACGGATGTGGCCAGCTGGGAGTAGTGCGCTCAAAATGCGATAAGTGCAAAAGTACAGCCGACTCAAGTAAAGTAGATTTTTGCAGTACTTACATTGTAGGCGTGAGTGATAATGATACACAACCGCTTATAAGTATTGAGGTCGTTGACCGTAAGGGTGTGGCCATACTCGACACGGGGGCCACACATTCTATCGCGAGCCCTACGCTGCACGCTTTGCTCGTTAAAGCTGGCGTGATGTTTAGGACGGTCGTACGTACCGTAGGTCTTGCCGACGGGTCTCAGCAGAAACGTACCGCGCTTGAGTGTGACGTCGACGTCATATTAGGAAAACGCGTGATACCCACTACGTTTATGGTGCTACCGAATGCACAAACGAGGACGCTGTTAGGTAGGAATTTTGTTATGAAAGCGAATATCCTGTTGGATTTACCACAGTGCAGCTGGCGTTTTAACGACGAGTCGAGTTGGCATCTGTTTGCCGCCAGCCCCGCTTTACCTACCACTGATAGCCTGGAGCCGACCGCGCTGACGGTTGACCAGAGGGCAAAGTTAACTGCTTCTCTGTTAGATATTAGGAACCGCTCCGCAAAGGAAGAACATTCAACCGATTACACCCGGCTTCGATTAAAGTCTAACGCGAGCCGAGAACGGTATCGTTTAGCATCTACTCTCGTAGCACCTTCAATGCAGGGGGAGGGCCCGGAGGAACGGCCAACCGTCATGAGTTTTACTCCGTACTTACGACGTACGTCAAACGCGCCGTTTGACGCTCGTAAAGTCCGTGAAAAGAACCGAGTTAGCGAGAAACGTAGCTCTGGAAAGAAACGTCACCCTGCGCCGGAATATTCCGCAGGAGCCGGAGATCTGCTTTTAAAAACCCAGGGCAGCGACGATGCGCCCCGCGGACAGACTCCGAGGTCTAAATCATGTCGTAAACTAGATAGTGGCGAGAATTCGGGTAAGTACCGCGTCTCACAGTCGACTCCTTTCGTGGGCGATGTACTGATTCCGCCTGTTATCGAAAAGCGTAGGCGCGGAAAACCCAAGCGATTTCTAGACTGACCAAGACGCGAGGGCGCTATGTCTAGGTCAGAGGGGGAGGATGTAACGCGGCAATTCGATTTTGGTTTGTGTCGAACGCACGCGCGCTACTCTAGTGGCAACGCGCCACCACACTATTTCCCTTCCCCCGCTTCCCCGCCACTGACCGCTCGACGCTTGCGAGGACGCGGGAACAAGGAGTCCCGCGCCGGAGCCGCGACGCACACGCCCATATTTGTGCCGCGAATATTTTCTGAGTTTTTTGTATTATTGTGCAACTTTGTTTTATATTTACTTTATTTCCAATATATACAGTTTACAGTCATTCGTGTGTCGAACGTTATTTCACGCCCCTGAGAACCCACCACCAAGAACAATCAATCTTCATCAACCATATTACATAATGCTTTTCGGCTTACTTACGCAAATATTGAGTAACGTTGAACTCGACTAGTTTCAATCCATACTAGAGGCTCAAGTTCATGAGTGGCATTCCGAAACACACGCCGCGGTGACTGGCACGCTGTTACTGCTTTTTTAGTATGGTTGATTTTTATCATATTAGAATTTTCTGCTTGTTATACATTCCATGTTTACTTTGCCCAGTTTGATTTCTCATAGTCACTCGACCAGATTAGTGCAAAATAGATTAGCATCCTTTGTTCGCACCACTCGAGAGTCGAAACCGGTTGAAACCAGTTTAATTGATTGAGAGAACTTTGGTCATATGTGTGCATAGCTAATTTGGAACTGCCCTTTACACTATTGTGAATTAGACCTGGGCGACTTCTATGTATACTTTTGACGTGTGTGAGTAATGTTACGAACTTCGTTGATGTAGATTTGGTATAATCTTAGCCCCCTAAGCAACCGCAGGGGCAGTGCACTCAACCGCAGGGAGCGGCTAGCCGCGCGGTTGACCGCCAGTGCGTAAGGGGCTTATGAGTAACATGAAGGTGACGCGGTATCGTTTTTAAAAACAATGGGATTTATGCAAAGGTTTGATGATGTGAATCCAATATAGTGAGGGCACAACAGAGATTTGATTCTATCGCTACTTTTTCCATTGGTGTCGAAAAAGCTAACTAAGAGACATTAAATTAGGTAAAGAATGGGACCTGGTAGCAATATTTTTTAATAAACCACTGATAATGTTACAGCATCAATTGTACTTAACATGTTTTCTTATTTTTATTTTTTACTAGCTGACCTGGAAACTTTGGACCGCCTAAAAATTTTGTTTTCATCTTTTAAATCTTCCCTGGACTTAAACAAACATTTTAAGACTGAAATTAGCCAAATCGCTTCAGCCGTTCTCGAGTTTTAGCGAGTCTAACGAACCGAAATTCATTTTTATTTATATAGATAGATATTTTGAGCAAACTTTTATTTTTTCTTCAGGTAAGCAGAATATTCGTCCATCCAGAATATAACTCGACAATCTTCAGTTCCGACCTGGCAATCCTGGAGCTTCGAGATGAGGTGACATACTCCGAGCGAGTCCAGCCTGCATGTCTCTGGCCGGAAAATGAGAAGGATCTGAAATTTGTCGTGGGAGAAAGGGGATCCGTAAGTATTTAAGTTGACAATTTTAGACTCCATGCTACTATCAGAATTTTTGAGAAGTACCTAGTTTTTCCGACCCGGAAAACGAATCCCTTTCTGTTTGCAACCACTCGACTAACTCAACCAGTTCAACTTTTAATAGAACTTTAATTGACTGCCTGTGGTTTTGCAGCAATTTGTAGCAATTTTTCGCGCGGGAAATGATCCTGCACCCCTTATACATATTGCACGGCAGTCGGTTAGCAAATCACTAGTCCACCGATACACTATACAGTCTAAGCTCTATGGATCGTTGGGAATTCAGGGATTGGGGAGATTGGGGAAGGGGAGGGTAATTGGGCCTCCAGTAACCTCACACGACGAATTTATTTAGATTATTAATTTATTATTTCTAATAACTACTTCCGCGTGGTTTCTTGCTTTCTGCGTAGCTCCTTTAACACACAAATAATTATTCAATTCGTAACTGTAGTTCTAAAGATCAGTGCGTTCAAACAAACAAATTCTTCAGCTATGAATAATAAAACTAGCGACACTGGGTCGGTTTCACCCGCTCTGCTCGGCTCCTATTAGTCATAGCGTTATGTTTTGTAGCCTGTAGCCTTCTTCAATAAATAGACTTTTCAACACAAAAATAATTATTGAATTCGAACCAGTAGTTTTCAAGATATTTGCGTTCAAACAAACAAACAAGCAAACAAACACAAACTATTCAGCCTTATATAATAAAATAAATAAAAATAAAAATGCAGTATAAGATAACGATCCATGATTGTTTTCAGGTGGTAGGTTGGGGCTACGAGAGTACAGGGAAGGCGAGGGAGGAGCTGACACTACTGGAGATGCCTGTGGTAGACCAGCAGACCTGTGTCAATTCCTACGAACAATTCTTTGGAATATTCACCTCTGATAAGACGTACTGCGCTGGATATAGAGACGGTAAGCCTTTTATGAAAATGGATTTGTTTTAGATTAGGGTTTTTTTCAATGATGGGGTACTTTCTAATGGCTATTTTCAGCAATCCGTTTATCGGTAGATTTGCCTGCTGGAAATAAAACTTTGATTTATTTTGTATGGTCATCCTTTGGAAAATTGCTTAAAGTAAGTAACCAAATTTTCCGACAGACTGGTTGCAGTATTAAAACTGATACCAGCCACCATAAAGATGACTTACAAGGTGAATTGATTCGTACGACCGGCTTTTGTATGTGAAAAAGTATTTATGGAGATCTCGCAAGCGTTAACATTTTCGCCAATTATGTTAGCTGTAACTACTGAGCTGTTAGAGAAACACATTTTATTACACGTCACACAGGCGTCAGTATCCATACTGACAAAATATCCAAACCCTATATACCAGCCTATGAGCCTTTGACTACATTCATAGAGGTCTAACTAGATATTCTATGCAGTGGCTGTGTGCACAGACATGGGATAAATCATTTACCATGTACACAAATGTAGCTATGCAAAACCAGGATAAAGTGACCGTGACATGTGCGGAATGATCATACAAAGCGGGACCATGATAAAGTGGTTTTTTATAGGTTGTGTAGTATTGTGTACACTGTGGTTTCGTGTCCGTCTTTATGTCTGTCTGTATTCTATTGAGCTCTGCTGATCCAATTTGAATTCACAATGTAGACGGTGTTTGTATCAAAATGAATGATGAATATTATTTCTAGTAAATACAGAAGTTGTATAAAATTCGGTATATATAAAACAAACAACAAACAAACAAATATATTTATTTCCATTTTGTTCACATATACTTAATCTAAGCTTATTATTTAACACCTTCTTTATATGTTCCGTTATTTAACTATTCCATATGATAGGCAACTAATATATGTTACAATACAATACCTAAGTAATTAATAAGATATTATTCATAATGACTAGTCATTATACATAATAACCATATTGCTTAGTCAATGTGGTAAATTAAACATATATAACAAGTTAAAAATGATTTAAAAATTGTTATATAATATAGGTGCAGTGTAGGGAAACTATTGGAAGTTTTAGTTTCGTAATTTTCTATAGCGACGTAACGTGGTTTTGCTAATTGTGTCTTACCTGTCTTATTAAGGTGCGTCTAGATTTGATAAATGCGACGCTTGTGTCCTGTCCGCGAGTATCTATTTCGAGGATTCACTAGATGTGGACGCGTCTTTACAATAATTATGGAACTCAGAGGTGGTTTAAAACTAGAGAGCGCCGAAGGCAGGCAGCTCATGGGCGCCAATATTTTTTTCTGGAACCGCCGCCACACCATTGGCAATTGGCACCCATGTGTAACCTGCAGCTGTAGCCAAATGCCATTTAGCGCTTGTCTACATGTAGAATAGAAAATCAAGTTATATGGGATTGACGTAAATTTTGACCAATTCCATATAATTTGGTTTTCTACTCTACATGTAGACAAGCGCTAAATGGCATTTGGCTACAGCTTCTGACGCCTTAGGCACTTGCTTAGTTTGCCTTAGGGATGAGACAGCGGTGATACGATAAGACTTATAACTGGCAAAATGTACTAGATTTTTAGAACAACCGATAATATGTAGATTTGTAGACCTCTGCCTTAAATGGGTGGATTTATTCTATTTGCTATGGGAATTTCTGAGACACTTATATAAATTATTTTGTAAATTTCAGTCGGCTCAGCATGCAACGGCGACAGTGGAGGCGGCATGGTCTTCGAGAAGGATGGCTCCTGGTACCTCAGAGGAGTAGTGTCCCTTTCTGTAGCTAAGAAAGGAGTCTACAGATGTGACCCTACTCATTACGTCATATTCACTGACGTCGCCAAGTTCTTACCCTGGGTAGAAGAGCATATTGAAGACAGTATTTAAGTGTGACTGTGATTATTGTAATGAAGCGTAAAACATGTTATTTTGAGGTATATTTTGTACATAATACAAAGCATAATTATTGTTGGTGATTGACTTTAACAAAATATTGTAGTGCAGCTAGTATAGGGTTTTCTATAACTGTCCATTGGAATTTTGATTGGGTACTTGCCTCCATCAAAAATAAATATTTCGACAGTTCAATACAATAAAATATTCAAATATAATCACACTTTGATTAATCGATTTAATGATCAACTTAATTTTAGTACTATTACAGCATTTTTTAAGAAATGTGTATGCTGTTTGACGCTAAAAAACGTCATGTCACAATATACAAGCTCGTACACAATTCATAGAAAACTGTCTTTTTTTTGATAGCTTGAAAAAGTATTGAATTTGACTAATTGCAAAGTACCCAATTGAGCTCTATGGCATTCTCGCTCTTCATTGGTTGAGATTATTCTCAAAACAACATGGCCGACCGCAAACGAGTTCACTTAAATCTTTCGAATTGAAAGTTACAAAATAGCGTTGCACCAGTCTATTTTCTTTAAAAAACGACGTGAACCTTTGTAATAAAATAACATAACACATTGTACATACTACACATCTATATGAATGTTAATGTTTATATATCATAAATAATTGAATGAATAAATAAGAGAAGATTCACTTATGTTTTTTAATTGAGTTCCTTATCAAATAATTACGTGTGTAAGCAGAAAAAATAATAATTAATTTGGTGTGTTTCACAAAAGTTATAATATAAATAGAGATTAACCTACCTCTGGGGACTTACTCTTGAATCCAATTCCGATCGATCGACATTGGTATTGTGAAATTTTCTACTCTTGAGTTGCAATACTAGCGCCCATTACATACGTATTGCGTGGATATTGAATGAACTGAATGGTATTGAGTTTGGCTTAATATTCCGTACACTAAATGTTATTTTATAATTTTGACATTGAATAATTACTGAGATTTTATTGGTTTGAAATTGTATTGACATTGAGATTGGTTTCAATAGTAACCCAGTTCTTGGGATTCCCGTGCATACGTCGCGTTCCGCGCGCGGCTCTAAGAACCATCAGACCACCACTGATGGGGCCCAGTATTTTTTTTAATCCCTCGAGCGTCCTTATGAGCACCCGGTGGATCATAAGAAAAAATGCTCCATGCTGCTTTCTCTTTTATAAAATCTATTATTAATGTTTTGTTTTTATTTTGACTGTTTTTTTATTTATTTCTATTGTAATGATCCTTGTTTTTGTGTGCCAATGGCCAAATAAATGCATTTTCTTTCTTTCTTTATTTCTTTCTTTCTGCAAATGTCACGTGTGCACCCGTTGGATGATAGGGAACGTGGACGCTTGACGGGTTAAATCACGACGGTGGCAAAAAAGCACACGGCCTACCTGATGGTATGCAGTTACCGTGGCCTATGTACGCTTGTAACACATGGGGCATTACATGCACCTTGCCGACTCTTACCCCAGTAGAGCTGAAACCGATACGGTGTAGCGGAAAACTTAACGGGGTACGTACGGGTAACGGGAGGGGGGGGGGGGCTTCAGGTCGAAGAACTGTACTCCTGCTCTTTGTCCACTTGTACACTCTCGCGTGAGTCGCGACGAGGCCGAGATACATTGACGTTATTATAGATGAGTTGTAGTCCTTCTCGCATTATAAGACTGTAATGTATCGAGATACATTCGAGGCCGAGGCCTCGTCTCGACTCACGCGAAAGTGTGGATGCAACATATGACACTTCTTCTCGCCTCACCCAAGACTGGAGGAGTCATTGGATGATTACTCGCCTCACAAACAAATAGTTCTTGAAACTACGTTCTTTATTTTCTCTCCTTAAAAAGAATTGGGAGTCTGTATGAATGGTATGGAGGTTTTATGCTGCAATTTTAGCTCTGTAGTCTTACAGACTTCTTACTTGTAGGTAACCAGCTGTTGATTACGTGGCAATATATTTCGGGTTTAATTTCTTAAAACTACTCCTTCAGAAATAGCATTAAACTGTCAAACACCGCGAGGACACCGGTGACCGCAACCTTCTTCTTTAATTGTGTCTATAAATACGGTACTCGACGAGTTAAACCTCTTCTAGAAGACGAAGACACTTTTATTATTTTTCATTTTTGTTTTCATAGTATAAAGTTTTACGTCTAAATACAACATTGCTCCAAAAAGCACCAACACTTTTAATTTCGAATACAAATATCAGAATTATGTTCTGCAGTAATTGAAGAGTTAAGTAACTAGGATTTTGTACTATACAAAAGTAGAGAAAGTAATTTTTAATAATAGTAAGTAAAGTAAGTACCTATAAACAACAATTTCTTTATAAGCAGTCGATATAAACAAAGAACAGTCTCCCCAACCCCTAAATCCCCAACTATTATCAAATTCCTAACGCGTCTGGTGTTGCGGGTGTCCATGGGCGGCGCCGATTGCTTACCATCAGGAGACCCGTATACTCGTTTACGGGCTTATCCAATAAAAAAAGTTAGGCAGGTTACATGGTTACCCCATTACAGTTCTGTAAGAAGTATTTGGTGTTACGTTGTTCTCGCACAATCGAACCAATAAAACTATGTAACTAGACAATAGTATTGTGAACCTGATTAGAAAAGAGTAACCTATAGAGTTTCTTGCTCGTTCTTCTCCATAGGAATCTACACCTTGGAATGAGCAAATAGTTTAACTTTTACATTTCTATTGCTGACGTTCAAAAGTCGTGGTTTAATTGAAATAAATGATTTCGACTTTGTATAACCCAGCATTTTATAAGTTAAAACATTCATGTAGTTTGGTAAGTGTGAAACGAAACTTGGAATTAATCTTGCGCACTAAATTGAACGGGAATTCGACGCGAGATAGAGTTTACATATTTTATTAAGTTATTATCTTTCGTCTTGGGAATTTGAAATTAATGCGGTTTTCTTGTTATTGTTGGGGTCTGGCTTTTAAGGGGATGAATGTGGTTGGCTATGTTTTTACCAGTTGTATCACAGAAAACATTACCTATGTATTGCGGATTGTCGTGGTTTAAATTTATACTTAAATCTTTGATGTGACAATAAAATAAATAACGTTCTTCTTTGAAACAATACATTTTACGGTTTTTTTACTTACTATATTATAATTATATCGCATAACATAATATCACGCCTCTTTTCCCCGAAGGGCTAGGCAGAGGTGCATATTCAAATCAAATCAAATCAAAATATTTATTTGCAAGAGTACATTACGGCTCTTAATGCCACTGTACAATGCAACACCCACTTTCCACTATTTATGTTATGAGTCCCATGTAATTGGGGGTGAGCCTATTGCTATATGTCGGGCGCAATTCCAGACTCAGTGCTACTACTGAGTTAAAAAAAAATACCCAGTAAAACTTTACCCGACCCGGGAATCGAACCCGAGACCCCTTGACTAAACCTTGAAAAACTGTCAAGTGTCAATTTTATTCTACAGTTAAGAATTAACTGATGATTGAAAGATCGGCCCTTATTCTTTTAGTTAATCTTAGCAGCTTATGAACTACTTACTTAAATCTCTGTAAGTGTCATCTATTCTACCTCTATATCATACGTGTATTTCACCTCAGGTGTGAGCAGGCAACTAGCGGGTAATATACGGAGATTAAACGTGTCTCCAGTTAGACTTAGCTTCAACCGAGAACTGCGAGTGAAGTTCTGAGTTATTTACTTTGAAATATTGTAGAATTAATTGTCTTATTAAGAACGAGTGAGTGAGCAGAGGACGTTCAAAGTTTTTGATGCAAATAAAACCAACATGTAGAAATAACTTTGTTACGTTTTTATAATTACTATCGTGAGACATACTAAATTAACTAAAAATCGCGGGTTACTCACGTGAATATACTGAGAAAACCTCTACGTTGTCGACGCCGCGACCGTGCACGCTGCTTATGAGGAAGAACCCCTCTGTGGTGCGAAACCAGTAGAGCTTTTCCCAGTATATTCATGTGAATAACTCGCCATTTTTTATAGCGACAGATACCTGCTTGACTGTTGGGAAGAAATATTTTTTCTATTACAGTACAACAAATATCTAGTACTTCGTGATCAATAGATAGGGACCGAATTTACTTAAATAAAGCAGACGTTGAAGTCTTATGTCAGAATACTGAAACGCTACTCAATTTTAAGTCGTGCTTAAGTATAGTTCTATCTCTACAAATTCTTTGTAAAATGACAGAGATGGCACGATATTTAAGCACGACTTAAAATTAAGTAACGTTTCAGTATTCCAGCATTAGCAAAAAAAAAAACATTTATTTATAAGCAGTAATATTGTCAGAATTATTAATAAACAGCTCTTAACAATATTCATTCAAACACTTCATCCAATGAAGTAATATAATAGCCTATTATTCATTTAGGTACTATCAAATTCTATAACATTGCTAACTGTGAAACGTTGCATCTGCATTTCCAAACGCCCAAACTACCAAATAACTGATTCGAAGTTGCATCTAGTCTGTACCGACTTACAAAATTATCAAACAAACTCTAACCGTATAGTACACTAAGTAAGGGTCATATTTCATTGGGACACCATGAGCAACCTGTCACCGCTACCAAGAATATGTATACAGCTCTATATAATTACTAACTTGGTGTCCGCTGGGTGCGCAACCGTTCTGGCGGCGCGACCAGCTCGTACGGCAGCATTAGAGGTCTATTTTGATATTTTCGCAGTCATCATCATCATCATCATATCAGCCACAGGACGTCCACTGCTGAACATAAGCCTCAATGACTTCCAGATAGGCCGATTGGAAGTGACCTACATCCAGCAGCTCTTTGCGACCTTAATCAGGTCGTCTATCCACCTTGCGGATGGACGTCCTACGCTGCCCTTGCCGGTACGTGGCCTCCACTCGAGAATCTTTCTGCCCCAGCGGCCGTCGGTTCTCCGCGCCATGTGCCCTGCCCACTGCCACTTCAACTTGA